AAAAAAAAAAAAGGAACAACACGCTCATTTGTGATGGAAATTTATACCTCCAACAGCTAAACCTGTAACACAATCAAGATGACCTCTCATCTCGATATATTTGAAACGACCACTGGATAACCCCTCAACAATGTCCCTGTCCCCCCTTAATTCTGCATCATTCTCATCTTTTCCCTTCATACAATGTTTCAACTCTTTGTCAATTTCCTTGAAAATGCACATCTCTCCAAGTAATGTACAGTTTATTGGGTGTTCCTTCTTTACTTTCTGTCTCAAGTATAATTATGTCCTATATTTTGTAAAAATATTTCCAAGTGATTTTTAATAAGACATTATTATAAATAAATAACAACAAAAAAGCACAACAAAAAAATACAATGAAAATTGAAAACTAAATACATTATGTGCCACCATAACAACCAATGGGTAAAATGAAAATCTAACTACATTATGATGCATAAATAAGTGACAAAGAGTTCAACATAACGAAATTTAATGTAGCTCGACTACAAAAAAGCATTCACCTTTTGTTTGAATACGCACAAGCTTTCGACACGAAAGATAGATAACATCATTGATTAATTTTCAACTTATGTAATCACTTTATGGGTAATCAGTATGAGAACTTGAAAGGTTAGTAACCTCTCGACAATAAAATTGGTAAAAAAAAAAAAAAGACATTTTCTAGTTATGCCCCATAATTAAATCTAATATTAAAAAAAAAACCATCAATTACATGGATCTGCTTAATTAACCATAAAAATTTGTATATTTGTAATTATATACACAAACATTGTAAATGTACAAATGAAAAGGGACTTGTGTGCTGCCTCCCAACGACTATAGCAACATTCGTTAATCTCACTTTCACAGACAAACACACACGCACAAACACTTGCATTATGCAATGGCCTATATAGTGAAGGTAATGATGATGAAACATAGAAATTTCATTTTTCAATCGAAATAACAAAGAAACGCGTAAAAGAAATAGTTGAAAACAAATAAAGATGTAATACAAGAAAAAAAGAACAATGCGGGGGCAAAAAAGGGAAGGGCAGCTCCTACGAGGTCGATGCAGAGAGAAAAAGAAAAGGGCACGACAGTGTGACATGAACTGAGATTTTACAAATTGGACGAGTTCCTACCAATAAAGAGGTAGAACTTGACGGCATTAGTTTTTCGAGAGAAAGCGGAGGTTTTATAGTATTTCAATATAAAAGCACACAACCTTGAATCCACACCGTCTAGGGTTTCGACACTCACATTTGGGATGCCATCTTATGCATTGGTGTACTCTACTTCTTGCTACTACTACTTGCAGTCGCTTAACTTCGGAATCAGAAAGTTCAAGTCCTTCGCGGCTTTGCAAACCGCCCATGGTGGTGGCGCGACGGTGATCCGACAAAACAAGAGAAAACTCTGATATTCTGCAAATACATTGTCAATGCTTGATAAACTTGAACTTCTCATACCCTTCTCTCCAAACATGTCGTAATCTGTCAAGTACCTGAAATTGCATGCGAATGGTTAAGCTCCAATATTAAACGTTCCCAGCTCTAACTTTAGTGCTCTAGGATCAAGGATCGTTATAATCTACCCACTCTATAAGTTTTAACATAAAACAAAAAAGAATGGAAAAGAGAAGTTTTACCAATAAACCATCGTTATAATCTACCCACTCTATAAGTTTTAACATAAAACAAAAAAGAATGGAAAAGAAAAGTTTTACCAATAAACCATATTCCGGCAGACACGAATAGCGTCCAAGTTAAAATTAAAGCAGCGACCCTCCAGCTGTTAATTCAATCGTATAAAAAGTTTAGCATACCAAGAAAAAGCAAAGTCACATGAATATGGATGTGTCTTGTGGGCACATCAAAAGTGTACTTGTAAACATACGGAAAAATAAACAGTATCAGTCACTTTAGTACTTTAATGTAAACATCAAACAATCTTAATTGAGCATGGAATCCCAATTTACATATATACAAGCTTTTCATACAAAAGTTATAACTATTTCTCTCGGAAAATAGGCAAGTAATTTTCACGGCAAGGTTTGACATATATAAACTCAAAAAAGAAATCATGCAAATGGATTCTTATTACGTGCCACTTCTCTAAATATGATCACAAAATAATCTAAAGCCAATTAGCTTGAAATCCAAGTACTATTATTTGGGATTTTCGTAGGCTTCATGAACCAGCATCTGGCTCCATATTTACAAACAAAATAAAAAAATAAATAAATGATTAATTAGAGAGTAATAGAAGACATAGGTAGAAAGCTTTCAGTAGATCGCTAAATTGGCTATGTTATAATGACATAATAAAGGCAGAAAACCTGGATAAGCCCTAACAAGGGGTGGAGCACATCACTAAATATGTGAATTAATACAGTTGATATTGCCATATATAATGGTCTGAGACTGGGCTCACACAGTTCAGGCAAACAAAATTAACTGGAGCCTACAATTTCTTATATGTAATTTAAATAAGCAATGGAGAATTCAGAATATATTTGTCAAAGCGGCATACAGATGCTACAGATCAAAATATTGACAGGAGAAAAATGCAAAAAAGTTTAAAGGAAAAATGAAATAACAAGCATAGCCACAGGCCCACAGCAAAAAAAGTTACCAAGTATTTTCGGCAAACTGCAAGCTTGTCATTTTCCGAAAGGAAAACAAAATTAATGCTTAGTCCTTACTCAATACAGCAATTTTTTATCCCATCAATTGGTATCTTGCAACAATATGACCAAGCAAATTTCAAGTTCAAGGAACAAAAAGTCAAAAAAATAAGTGCCAGAGATAGTTCACATGCCACTCTAAAGAATATATGGCACAATAGAAGTTGTAAAATGGTAAAGTAAAAAGTGTAGACAAATTCGAGATATTTTTTTCTTTTGAACAGGCCATTTATAGTGTAAGTTTGGAGTTGGGAAATCTCACGAAACCATGTCAGGCCCACAGTTTTATAATCAAGGTCCTGAATTTGTACGTATTGGGTGTTCAACAGTGTCACAAATATTGGGTGTTCAACAGTGTCACAAAACAAACACCTGGGAAATAGGGGTACCTGAGTAGCAAACACGAGCAGCTCCCCTATTGCGAAAAGAGCAAAAAAATGCATTTAGGCTCTTGAAGGAAAATGCAGCAAAGCAAAACACAACTCCAGAAAATGTTGCAAGTTATAGAAGTTGTGGATCAAAATAGGAAGAAAGTTAGCAGATGAAAACCATTTATATAAAATAAATGAAACATATTCAACAGCGCGGGTTATTTTTTTTGCAAGAATTCTTGTGAGCACATGAGATAAATAAACATTTCTGATATAGATTTCATAAACCTGTTAGAATCTGCATGATGTCATTATGTCAAGAACCCAAACGATATGTAGATGAATTATACAACTCACTCCAATGATGCTATAGCCCCAGGAATGTAACCCCATACCATCGCGGCCTGATCTGTTGACCCCATGGTCCTGTCGTTGCCGCCATGTAATCACGAGATGCCAACTTGTCCCTCAGTTGGCAAATAGATTGGAAATTGATTCTCATGAACAACTGATATGTGGCCTTTGATAATTTACCAAATAAGCCCTGCGAATGAACAATCTCAACAAAATATAACCGATCATCTAACTAATCACAGTTTCCTCAGTACCATCTATAGTTCCATTTTTATATTGTTCAAAAGGTAAAATGACTGCATATTAGATATCCACATTATTTATTAACAAACGAAATTCAAAAACCTTAGCATTTTATTTGATTTTTTCATGGACTACATTTTTCTGTAACATCAAGCAATTACAATTACTATTGATAAGGTCAAAAGAATATCTCAGGAAAAAATACGCATACCTAAATGGAGGGAACATAAAAAGAAAATTATACTGAACAAAACTTACCAATAAACTCACAGTAGCCCTCTCTCAGTCGCAAAGCCTCCTCCAATCTCCACCGTGTTCCAGTGGATTTCACCGACCGTATGACTCAGTGCCGCTCACTGCTCTCTGTCGTCGGGCTATCGCAGATCTATGATGCCACCCACGTGACAGATTCGTTGACCGCCGCACCGTGTAGTTGCTCAACCGCTATCCAGCTAAAACTGTAATTTGTCGCCGCTCATGAGCGTGGTTCGTGGATCTCAGCCGCCGACACCATTTTTTTGGGTCTCTCGGCCGGTTGTTTTATTATGCAAGCTGCTTTCATCTATTATGCTAGTTGCATACATAATGATCATGCCAAGAGTCGAGTGCTTTTCTTGATATAGTGTAGGTACGTCATCTCCTCTACAACAAACAATATTGTTGACATCTAGTTAAAGTACCAGTTACCTACCCTAATATAAATCAACATTTAAAAGCATGCATCTCACTGATCCCTTCACAAAATACTATGAACCGAACATAACAAATATACATGGCACTTTCTCTCCATCGTCTTATTATCACTCGTGGTCATCGCCAGAAACACGTCTGCCACCATTCATCTCCGCCTCATCCACCGCCACTCCATTTTTCCTCCATACAATGACGGTAAGGACGAATCCATCCGAGAGCCCATGTTTGCTGCACACGACTTAGCTCTCTTCCTTGTAAATGTCTTCATCGGGGAACTTCCTCCTCACACCTTCTGGCCATGGACACCGGGAGTAACCTCGTCTGGGTCCACTGCTGCTTCAGCTGCCCCTATGGCTTCAATCCCGACCGCTCCATCACCTACGCCAAGAACCTCAGCATCTCCTCCAAATGCTTCAGCTTCACCCCCGGCACCTTCCAGGAGGGTCTCGACTGCCGATTTTCCACTGTGTACGAGGACGGGATGTGGAGCTCCGGCGTCATCGCCCGCGATACCTTTACCCTCGCCACGTCGGATAGCGGGCTCCGCAAGGTCCTCGACGTCATGTTCAGGTGCGCGGCCGACATAGGCGGCAGGACCAGCGCCCTGGGTGGGGTCCTCGGGATGGTGGCCCAGAGCCCATACCACCTGGCGGCCCGGCTGTGGAACAGGTTCTCATACTGTATCGGTGATCTGCGGAACCATGGGTACGCGCACAACCAGCTAGTGTTCGGGGCAGTGATCCAGGGAGACTCGACCCCCATGCTACTCGGTCACACTGGAGGGGATAAGCGTCGGGGGAGAGCCGCTGAGCATCAAGGGGGACGAGTTCGAGTTCAACGTGGTGGACTCAGGGAGCACGTTGACGGACCTGAGGGAGGGCG